GTCCCTCTTACCGATCTGGGAGTTAATTCCAATTTATATAAAACCATTCACGCCGTTTTCTTTCATAATATGATTGTTATAAACGATGAGTTTTCTTGATATTGACAGTGGAGAGGTTCCACATTACCTCCCACAAGGTAATTTTATTGAAACACCATCTCTAGGTAGCTGGCTGTTGATTCGTTAAGAGTTCTTCCGCTCTTTGATAAGGCATATTTTTCATCTTACAGGGTTGTTAAGAACCCGCTTCACACGGAAGAAATTGAAGTGGGATTGCCAAGTTAACCGCTGACCATCCGACAATAGATTTGATATATACAAACTTATTTAACTTAGTTACAATTCTATACAACATTTTTATTATTATTATTATTATTATTATTATTATTATCTACACTAACAGTTTCTTTTCTCGCACTTCACGTCTGTGGAACTCCCTTCCATTTCCTTGCTTCCATAACTACAATCTTCAAAATTTAAATGCAACGTTAATCGCGATCTTTTGTCTTCTTGAACCCCGTCCAGCTTTTATCCTCTCCCCGGTCCCCTCTCTATCCAGTCTTTTTTTTTTCTCACCTTCACCCTCTGTAACACCGTGTGTACTAGTGGCAATCCCGCCTTGCTTGGAGTGAAAGGATTAAAAAAATTATTAAAAATAGCTTTTTACCTTAAATTTCTCGAGTTAATAGTGAGAGAGGAATATCACCATTTAATTGCATTCAGACCCAAGAAGTTTCATCGATGATAATCATAAACTTGAATTTAAATTAAATTTTACATTGCTGAAGCTGTTGCCCTAATCTTTATTGTCATATACACGACGTTTAGGGCATTGCACGCCGTTGGCCTTCTTCAGATGATATACGTTGAAATTTCGGACAAAACGCTTTATTTTCTCCACTGGGGTATATTGTCCTAGTTCCACGTGTTATGTCTCTTCCGGATATCCCAGTTTCAGTTATCTCCCTTTAGTAATTGAACTCGACAAGTTTTTTTCAGCTCTGCTGAGATCAGCTCACAACTCACTGGATTACTTCAACCCTAACCCTGGTCCATGGGTTCTCAGAAATATAAACTGAGATTATATATATATATATATTAGGTCACGTAAAAAAGCGGCATATGACGATGAAAAAAGACTCATAAATCAACGAAAACAAAGTTTTGTTTAAATTATGTTTATGTTGTTATGAAGATGAAAGACCAAAGTATTTTTAAAATATTTTTTGAAATTTTTTACTTTTTCTAGCACGTAGAAAATTGTGGTTAAAAATTATGTATTTTTTACGACAGCGCGAAAAAACTAAAAAAGGTTTGTTTTATTTTTGCGCTTTTCCCATTGAAAGCACACGTTAAATTAGGAAATTCTTGCAAAATCAAATAATTGTTGGATTTTAATGAAACTTTCAGGACTTATTCAGACATCAATGAAATTATTTCTGAAATTTTTTTTTTTTAGAAAATTATGTTAAAAAGATTTTTTTTTTAACATATTTCCACCCACTTATATATTTTCATGAAATTTCGAGAAATTATATCTGAGTGCGCGGGTTTTTTTTATTAGTTATAAAGAGGACTCTTTGTAGAAAGTAAATCACCAGTTTTTTTTTTGTTAAACATTTGCTAATTTATAGAAAATCTGCTTTGAATTGTAAAAAAAAATGTAAAAAATTATGACATTAATTAATTAGAAAAGCTTCCACCTGTTTTTGTAGATACGTTATACTAAGGACATTATTTTGTGAAGAAATAAAACATTTTCGATGAATAATGTATTTTTTGCAAATTTTTTCCCCATTTTTAAAATTTTTTTCATTAACGTCTTAATACTTCAAAAATCGTTTAAAATTCTTTATTTCTTTGGTGCACGTAATGCAATGATAACGTTAATGAAAATGTAAATTTACGAATCGAACTTTGAAAAGCACATAACAGTCGTTTGAACTGAAATATTTTAAAATGATTAAAAAAAAATTTTATTGAAAAAACGTTCATAATTTCTATGTATGGAAATGTATACGCGACATAATCCTTAATAAGGTCACGTGATTTGTGTCGTCTGGCACCGCAGTTATTTCTCTTCTCTGTCCAGTTCAGATCCACATCGTTTACGTGTTTGCAAAAATTCTCTTCAAATTTTAAAAGTAAGTTGTAATTATTTTTAATTACTTTTCATAAAATATTTTCCCTTAAAGTATTTTCTTTTATTTTGGATAATATTTCATTGAAATAATTTTTTTCTTATTAATTAATTTAAAGAATTATCTAATTTTATTGCCATTATTATAAAAAGAGTTTTGTCCCTTTAATAAAACTAAAAAAAAGCGTTCACTCAGATTTGTAATAATTTTCATTTATGGTCATCCGTAGTAGCTGTCATCACTCGTCAATCAACACGTAGGTCAAATATTGGATAAAAATACCAGTACCAATCGTTAATAATTGGTTGTATACTACTTTTTATGCTAGAAGTAAGTAATATTTCTTTTAAATCAGATTAATTTAACATTAAATTTTCTAATTTTACTAAAATAACGTGTCAGAAACTTTTTAAAATATTTTTAAATTCGATAAATTTGTGTTTGTTTACAAATTTCTTAAAATTAAGAAAATGGCGGGAATTAAGAAAATTTAAAATTCCAAAATTAAATTTGACATTCCAATGTATATAGTTTCTATCTGAAATACACCAGAATTGTTTACTTAATGGAAATAATAAATTTAATGATTAAACTTTCAATTCAATTAAAGCTAAAATGAAATCTTCAAGCATGTTTTTTCATTTTTTTAAATTTATTTTAAAGTTAGGTATCGAAAATTTTGCCGAAAAACTGGAGGTCCTATATATATATATATATATATATATATATATATATATATACAAACCATTCATATATATACATATAGATAAACCATTCATATATATATATATATATATATATATTTAGAGAGAGAAAGAGAGAGAGAGAGAGAGACAAACCATTCATATATATATATATATATATAGAGAGAGAGAGAGAGAGAGACATACCACTCATAAACAGAGTAATAGGTGGTCGGGTGGTCTGTTAAAGCCGATTGCCCGTAGATGTAATAACTACCAGTAGTTATAATCATAATGTAAATACTAGAAACATGTATATATGGCATAAATAAATCTATACTTAATGTAGATATATTAATCAAAATAACAAAAATAATAGATTTTTCACAGCTACTTTCTCAAGCACATGCTACGTATCGTACTTAATATACTGTACACTCGTCTTTGTTTACAATTGAAAGGCCCGCCACCACCGCCAAGTCTATAAGAACTAATACAACTTTTTATACTAAGCCCGTAAATTTTGAAATACATCGCTGACGATTTGGGAGTTTCTTTCCTGCAGATTTTTTTTTTATATTTTGACTACAGATTTTGTCAGTTGCATCCGAAGTACATTGGTAGGGGTGGGGAGTAGATGAAAGGTTTGTCTATATATAGCGTGGTGTAATGGTTAGCAAGCTGGTCTTGCTAGATCAGTTATGACTGAAAAGTGAGTTCGATCCTCACTAGGTGTCCCAAACTTTCGGCTTTATGTCACATCTAAGCTACGCTTATATATAAAATATATATATATATATATATATATATATATATATATTTTAAATAAAAGGTAAGGAAACAAATACTATAACGATAATATCTACTGGACTTGAGAAAATGATTTACATGAAAACGTGTTTTAAGAGAAAGATTTTATAAATTTCAACCGTAGTGGCTACTCGGTCAATAAATGACGAATGTTTCCTTATAAGGAAACTGCTAATAGTGCTATAACCATATTTAGGCTTGGATTATATTACAGACGTTTCAATGAAGATTGGCAAACTTAATAAGGTAAGAATAATAAAACCCTCGCCACTGATGTTGACTGACTTTTGATGAAAAAGAAACTCAACAAATAATTATGATTCATTTATAGACAGGAATAACTTAGATAGTTTACACAACTTTAAAATTTAGATCTCATACGCGTCACTTCGCCATCTCCTAAATTGAGTACTAAATAATTGTAGGTGTGCCTTGTGGTGTGATGGATATCGGCTTGGAACGGAAAATCGACTTTGAATTCCAGTCGAGTTCATTGGATTCATTTACGCACAAGTACCTTTGGAAAAGGCATGAATCCATCACATCTTCCTTTAATTAAAGAGCCTATAGCAGGATAGACTGGTTGGCAAACAGACTACCGCAGAAAGAACTTAATGCGGGAAAATCCTTAAACGCTCTCTGACAACACAGTTTATTTTGTGCAGCAGCTGTTTATCTGTTAAATAAGTTTTTATTTATGTTTAGTCTGAATCAAAACGTTTACTTCTATCCTCGTCAAACATCATGTCCACTTACGATGGAAATACTTGACCTGAAATCATTCCAGGATTTGCAAAAAGATTTAGGCACACCCAATAAAATGATCGGATGTGTAAAAAGAATTGTATGGTCGTCATTATGTCTGTAGCTTGACACCAAAGCACAGGATGAATTTCGATCAACAATTTTTACTGTTTCCTAGAGAAGAGTCAAAGAAGAATGTGATAGAAAAATAGAAATTGCTGCATGGAAGAAATGGTTCACTTGGTGAATCTCTGTACAAAATATTAACAAAAGGCAACACAATGAATAAACAAATCGATCGACCCAGTTTTATAAACGCATAAATAAACATTGTACATCAAATTTTGGTTTAAATTTCTTTGACGATGAATAAACATTTTGATACACTATTTCTTTCGAATTCGACTCATACTGGTTGTTAAGCTCACTATAGTAGTCTGTATTAGATTGAAAATATTCGATATTGAAATGTAAAGAGAGAGAGAGAGAGAGACAGACAGACAGACAGACAGACATAGGTATAGACAGTGTGAGTATAAGAATCAATGCTGCATGGTCAGTTTCACGGCCAGTGCAATCTTCCCAACAAGCTTGAGGCAAGAATCTGACAACCACAATACAGTGTTGATTTGTATATCTATCTATCTATCTATCTATCTATCTATCTATCTATGTAGTAAGTCTTAAAGTTTTAATTAGGTTACTTTTTATTTGATTTACTATAACGACATGTGTAGGTGTTTCACTTTGTAGTGTATTATGAATTCGTAGTCTTGGTTTCAGTCCATCGAGTGCAATGGTATCTTACTTAATATGTCTGTATAATCAGCTTTTTATCCATTTTGAAGGAAGACTTTATATAATCATTGATAAATTTACACAGATTTCTTTAGTGTGGCATTCTGTAAGAAGAAGTGAAAGAGTTTTTGTTGAATATAGTGATGTAGAAAGGTAACACGTGTTGGGGTAAATTGAAAATGCGACATTGTGTCTTTTTTTTTAGATTTGTTTAGTTGATACAAAGGAATCGATCAAGAAGATTGAAAGTGCTTTCGAAAATGAGTTAACAAAGGGTTCACCCTAAATCTCTCTTCACAATATTTGGAATTGAAAATAGTATTAGAGAATAAATAGTTAATCAATTATTTTCGTTAGGTTGAGTAGTCAATATCGTTTTCATTTGTCGATGCAATTTCTCAATCAATTCTTATGCGCAATTGTGGTAGGTGATTGTCTTAACGTGTTTCGTGTCGAGTAAATTAGTGAATATAGTGGACGGGAACCGAATTCTCATATTTGGCCCTCCATGGGAAGTAATCTAAATGCGTAATAACATTAGTACAGATATCTGCTGATATAGATTCTTTTAGAAAAACCGCGCGTCGACGCAAATATCTATCGATGACAGTAAGTAGATATGTACATTGCTGGCAGTATATATAAGGGATCGTCAAAATAATCGTATCGGTTCAATAAAAGTAGATTTTGTATGTATAATGAAATTTTGACATGGTAATGAAAACGAGATAGTAAACAATACCAAAGAATAGTACAAAAATATGACATTAAACAAGGACATCAGAAATAAATGCAAGCAAGCAAAAGATGAATGGCCCAACGAAGTATGTGAAAAAGATAGAAACACTTTCAACATAGAGAAGATCTACATAAAATGGGAAAATAATGCCAGGAAATAGACGTGCTTCTCGACAGGATGCCTAAAATCTAAAGAAGTGGGGCGCTTATAATGAAGAAAGACAAAATGGCTCAAATACATTGGAGAAGGAAAACATTTTACAATACACAAAAAATAAGGAAGGACATGAAATATTAATATCTGATTTAAAATCATCACTGGCTCTAGTTGAAAGTAATAGGACCAGATGGTATCAGTCTTGGACTATATCGAGTGTGCAAAAGATAAATACGGACAGAAAATGATTTGAATAAGTACTCGAAAATAAAAAAGGGTGTAAGAAATAAATAAAAAATAAAATTGAAAGGGCTAGAATGTTTCCATTTAAATATTTTAAGATTATATAGATTAGGCAGACTGCATTAAATATAATGCAGACTGCCTAATCTATATATGTCCATGCTTTCCAGTAAAGTGTTCACAGTGATTGAAAAGAGTTGAGGTTTGTGTAAGTCGTAGACATATAAAAGCGAGAGAGAGAGAGAGAGAGAGAGAGAGAGAGAGAGAGAGAGAGGGTAAGAGAAAGATAGAGAATGAGAGAGTGAGAGCGTGAGTGAGAGGAAGAGGGATAGAGAAAGATGGAAGGAGGAAGATAATGAGTGAGAGATGTGGTAAAGGAGGAGTGTTGATAGTAACGATAAAGTGTTAATTAATTAATTAAATTCTTTGTTCTCTTGTCTGAACATGAAATTCCGGGGCCATTGTCTTGATTAGAGGTTATTGCGATGTTGCTATTTCATTGATAATCAATCGATGATCGTCGACAACAAATGAGATAAAAATTAGTCTTCTCTCGAATACTTTCTGAGTTCATCAAAATCGCTTTCTCCCGTCATCAAATCCAGCAAATATGGCGCGCTTTATCCCAGTGATTTTCCTATTGTACGTAATCAAGTATTTCATGTCTGCAGGTAAGTTTATCATTAAATTAAATTTGGGAAGAATTTCTTTAGAAGAATCATTTTTATCAAAATATTCAACTCTATATAAATCATTCAGGCGGAAACAGGCTGAAAGTGTAATTCTCATTAAGAGAAGAATATTATGAAAACATTACGATTGTTATATAAATATTATTGTCTTTAAAATATACTTTTCTCATGAGTTGAAAATAATCCTATTTTAACTTTAATATTTCCATCTGTATTTTTATCAGTTATGAAGGACGATCATTGTGAGACATATCAAGTTTTATTTCCTCACTAACCCCCACTCATAATAGGTGAATAGATAACATTTCACGATTTTATTCTTCTTCAACATGTGTTCGTGCTATTTTTTTTTTTTTTAATAACATTTCTGATTTTGTTATATTTTTGTAGAACCTTCACAGACTAAGAATATAGCATTATTATGATATTAATGAAAAAAATGTCAGTAATTAATTCAATGTTAAATATCTTAAATTTCATTGTCTTTTGTTACTCTTTTCTTCTAATGATGATTGTTGGAGAAGAGAGAAAACGTTTCGTATAAAAAGAAATTAGAACGAATCAGACATTTAAAATCGCTTTGAATAACGTGTCTTCATTTATACTCTCAAGAGTAACATTTTATCCTATCTTTATACTTATTACCACCAACAGTAGATTTCAAAGGAGATCAAGTGACAACAGGTCTTCTTACTACGCCAACATTCTGCTCAATGTTCCAGTTGATTTTAGAAATGTTGTCTTCTGAATAATTCTGATTAATCCTAAGATGTTTAAAATCTTTTTGCAAGACTCTTCGGAATTGTCCCAGATCCTCATATTATAATAGGCACAATCTTCACTTTCATGTTCCACAATATTTTTACTTCTCTGAAAAGTTAGAAATATTTCTCCAACTTTTTACTCTTTCAGTTTTACCCTACGGTATCCTGGAGAAGCGACGTCCATTATTTGACAGCTTTTCTTTTCTATTAGATCCGCATGTTTTATAAGAAATTTAAGCTGCTTGATCGTGTATCGTCAGCTTTTTTGAGAAAAAACAGAGGCTGCGTTGGTCTGTTGCTTAAGCATTTGTATTCCAAAAATATTTTGGTACATTTCGATTTGTGGGAAAATAACTGCATTTGGTTTTCATTCGAAACCAATCAAAAGGTTTCCCTCCAAATTCCGAGAAGCGAACCTGGAGCCTATCTTGGTGAATAAAAGCAGAAGCAGAATTAAATTCATGGATTCGACCAAAAGTTGCTGCATGAACCCAGGTCGGTCTGATCAATTTTCAAAACAACGCAGAAATAATTTGACGACCACCAGACGAGAACTGGAAGGAACATCAAAGTCGCTTCCATATCAAAGAAAATGGTGTAATTGTTTTGATCTTCGCTGCTACCATGAACTTTGCTTCGAACATTGGTCCAATTCTTTGTAAATTATTCCGAGAAGTATTTCCCCTTTCTTTATTTTATTTTGTTTACCTTTTCAGAGTATCTTATGCAGCATGGTAATTTTCATTGTAAATGAGGCATATTCTATTTACAGTGATTATTTATACATACATGTTACTGGCCATCCTTTGGCGCACAAAGTACTTAATTTGTATCATTCTTTAATTTTTGTGTTTTCATAAATTTATTGTCTGTTTTCTTCTTTTCTCTTCTTCTGTTTCGCATTGATAATATTTGTATTAAATTTAAACTCAGGCCATTCTTTTTATTCCACTTGAAAGACTATCGCCATATTGTTAGGCCTTTTTTCTATTTCGTTTCAATCAGTTTCAATCTTCTTTTTCAGATTCTATTTAGCAGACGATTTATATATATTCGGTCGAGATAGCTTTGTAGATTGTTGTTGGTTGGAAAGTTTTATTCTAATATTTTCTTCTCTCGCACTTCTCGCTTGTGGCACGTTTCTTCCACGTTCTTGTTTACCTGCCAACAACAATGTAATAAAATTTAGATTTAACGTCCATCGTCATTTTCTCTCTCTTTGAATCTTGCTCTTCTTGTTGTCTTTTTATCTTCAGTAACTTTTTCTCAGATTCTTTTCCTCTCACTAAATCCTTGTATCTTAGTGGCATTATCGCCTCGCTTCGAGTGAAATGATTTTAATTAGGAGAAAAAACATTTTATTTTCGCTTGAAAAGAGTGAAAATTCAGCTTTTTACTTCTTCAAATATTCACTACGTTGATGTATTCTATGAAGAAATTTAAAATGGCGCAATAATATATGTTACAAACAATATTTTTGATTGCATTTCAGATACAACGTCATTTACCAGTTGGAATTTGATTTTTAAAATTGGTGGTGATGGAACCAACGATGATGTAAATGTCACTTTAGTCGGAACAGCAGAAACGACTGGAAGTGTAATTGTTTGCAAAGATGTATGCGGAAAGAATAGCGAAAGAAATTTTACTTTCCAAACAGTTGATATCGGATCACTCGTGGATATACACTTGAACATATTAAAGAATGACAAATGGGATCTTGAAGAGGTAAGTTTCAGATAATTATAAATATATCTTAATATAGGTCCTTTTTTTAAAATTCATTGTACACTATTTTTATGGAAACATCTTCATTAGAACAGGTTCCCCCCACTATCCGAAACAGTGCCTATTTTAAAAGAAATTCCAAGTGATTTACATGATAAGATAATTTTGAACATGAATAAAAGCTTAAAGAACTCAAGTTCATACGCAGACGAGAGGAATTATTTGAGTCAACCATTTATTCGTTTGGATTTATAAATATTTTCCTTAAAAAAAGAGGTGAATGTTGCGAAATTCGTTGGCATTTGTTACTTTCCATCTTATTGTTTGAAATCAGATCGAGGCTTATAAAAAAAGGGTTTCATTCAGACTTGTATAGAACCAGCCATTTTATTTTCAACTAGTAGCATGGCCCAGCGTTGCTCGGGCTTGATTCAAAAATCGTACGACTCATACAGCAATCGCTATCACTTGACTTAAAATATTTTTGCCCTTCCTTGCCTTTAAAGGAGTGCCCTTTACCGTGCTGATGTTGCTACATGCCTTACTTCTTGCCTATCTCACACTGCGAATTTTTCTAAGCTCTATACTAAACATTAAATCTGTTACGAAAAAAGAACTAAACAAAATGAACACAAAACGATCAGCTTTAAAAAAGGACTCGTAACTGGAAAAACCGAACGAAAAAAGAATGTTAACAACAAATACTTTTTTTTACACCCAACCCAGTTCTGCGGAATCAGAATCAACGTTGAGTTTAAGCAAGCGAATGAGCCAATTGGAGTAAAGTACCATGCAGATTTAAATTTTTCCCACTTGTGACGAATGCAGCTATCGATTTTTTTTTTGTATGCTAGCATGCTAGTTAACATTCGTGTCAGTCAACTGTTGGCTCCCACGCTGGCCGATAGTATCTTCCTACCTATTCGTAGCAGCCAGCTATAGGCTCTCACTCTGGCCAGTAGTAAATGGTCGCAAAAATACATGAAAACTGCCGTAGAAGCATGAAAAAATCGATTATTTCCACTATCGATGGGAGTTGAGAAAATCAATGTCGGTCTTGGCCTTCCCACTAACTTGGAGCATGTGCATGTAAATTTTGGTGCAAATCCGTCGAAAATTGCGGCCGTGCATTCTTTACAAACAACACACACACACACACACACACACACACACACACACACACACACACACACATACATCCTGCCTTTTATAGATAGAGATAAAACCTTAAGAAATGTAATTTTATAATGTTTGATTATTGTTATTATTATTATTGAAAACTTCTTTTTGGCCAGAATTTATTTTATTATGACATGGTGGGTCATAACTAATGACCTAAGGCGAGTGAAGGGTGTGATGGTTTGTTGTTTCCACTTAATTAAACAAAAGGCAACTTTTAAAAAAATAAGTTAAATGGACGAAGTTCTTCGCAGAATATGGCCTGTGATTGTTAAAACAATTTTTTGGATTAATTTTTAATCTAAAATTATTAGCATTCCCTGAGAAGATGATCAATAGTTTCAAGTATTAGTCACAAAACCGATATTAACTTGATAGTTTCGTCTAAGCAGGCTTTGGTCCCGTGCAGTTAAAATAAACTTATTCAGTTTCAGCCTTAAATTCTGAACTCGTTAGCTACTGGTGGGTTGCGAATTGACTACTTTAAAATTTTTGTTTCGGAGAAGGGACTGCCTATATGGGGTCTTTTGGTTCCAGCTTTATTCAATTGGCTTTTGGCCTACCATTTTCACTCCTTGCTGACTTTGTGGCAATTGTATCGACTTCAGCGCCATTTTCAAGATTTGACTCGAATTCGCCTGCATCTATATGGGCTCATTTTGATACAGAATAAAGCTGTTTACTTTTTTCATTCTCCATTATCAGTTGTAACATCCAACCTTTCATTGTTATTATTATTTAACTTGAATTCTCTTGCATCTCTACGGGCTTCTTTTGATACAAAATAAAGCTTTGTACTTTTTCATTCTCTCTTGTAATATCCAATCTTTTATAGCTATTATTATTATTATTATTATTATTATTATTATTATTATTATTTCACATGAGACCTTATGCATATTTATGGGCATTATTTGATACAGAATAAAGAATTTTCATTTTTTCAAAAACTATTATGAGTTTTAACATCCAATCTTTTATAGCTATTATTATTTTACCTGGATTCACCTGTAAATTTATGGGTGTTTAATATAGAACGAAGCTTTCTACTTTTTACATTCTCCATTATATCATGTGATGTCTAATCTTTTAAAGTTTTTAAAATTCAACCAGAATTCTCTTGCATATTTATGAACTTATTTTCATAGAGAATAAAATATTCTACTTTCTTCATTCCCCATTATGAGTTGTAACATCCAATCTTTTGTAATCATTTATGGCCTTCTTTTGACACAGAATAAAGCCTTCCCTGTTTTTAGTCTCCATTATGAGTTGTAACATCCAATATTTGATAGGAATTATTATTTAACCTGAATTCTCATTAAATCCATGTGCTTTTGTGATACAGAATAAAGATTTCTGCTTTACTCATTCTCCATTATGGGTTAGTGATCTATCTATCTATCTATCTATCTATCTATACAATCAGTTCATTTTTTTCACTATCAAAATATGTTCATCTTTCATGCATTCTTTCTTTCTTTCTTTCTTTAACTACCATACTGTCAACATTTTTAAAAATGAAGCAATTATGTTGTGTATATAAATGGGGAATCAGAAATTGTAGAATATTTAAAGTTTTCTCTTGCTACCTGATGTTTTTATGTTATACAATCTATCTAAATGTTTTTTTATTCATTAATAGTCAAAATGGTTTTTATTTCTTACCGATTATCAAAATGATTTTCCTCAGTAAAATCTTGAAATGTTTATAACGTCTTTTTCAGCTTGTCAGATGAAGAATCTTTCCGTATGTACAACTTCTGGCAAATATAATTCTTTATGTTCCAGAGAAATGATAAATGGTAAATATATATAAAAAAAACAAACTATTATTTATTTACATTTTTAAATTCATTTGAATTCCGGGTGTCATATGAAACTTCATACTATGAAAAATATTGCATTCTAAGTGGTTGTCTATTTTTTTGTGAAGCTGAGTTACTTTTGCGTGTTTCTAAAATCTGGAGTAGCTTGCATAGTTTCTTTGGTCGGAGAGGCGCCGAGGTACGTCTTTTATGTGTGAGCCGTTTCATTCGTTAGGATTTCAACAAATCGAGTCCAATGAAGTCATAACGAATGAAACTCGTTACAAATAAACTTTTGCCATTTTGTCTTAGTTTCCTCAATATATATATATATATATATATATATATATATATATATATATATATATATGTATATATATATTTTATAAAATATGATTCCTTCGCTACAAAAGAGTTCTCATGTTTCAAAAACGAGAGCCGAAAACCTCAATATAATTATTAAAATTAAATTGTTAAAGTATCAAGCCCTGTTTCATCCTTAAGCGAAAATTTAGAAAATAACCAATCTTGAAATTTACGCATCTTTATAAGCATGTTCATTCTCAAAATTAATTACTATGGAAACGGCTGGGGCGACCATTATGGTAAGGGGCCTAAGAGATAATTTTTATCCACATATCAGTCACCTTCGGAAAGAGGTCAAGCCGAGGTAGGGTTGGGGTATCAATTTCAAAGGGAATGATGGTATTTATGTGCGCACATCGTCTGGTCAGTTACAGCGAAAGATAGCTTTTGGCACCATAATATGTCGTTAAGTGTATAGAGGATTTTGTTTTATTTTATTTTATTTATTTATCCTTTTTTTTTCTTTCCAAAGGGCTGTTTCATACTTAAACGCGTCGCACTGAACTACAATTTTTTTGACGACTTCATAAAGGGTTTTTCTATTTATGATTGGGTTAAGCATTTAAAATTTTTATTAGACTATGAAATTTTATTTTTTTATGCTAATTATTTAATGCGAAAATTTGTTGATGTCGGCAGAAAACCGTTAACTCATGTCTATGGCTTAATAAATTTTCATTATTTAGAAACTTAATAATGTGTAGTTTTTCATGTAGGCATAAAGGGCATGGGTCATCCCAGGTTTTACAAGTTCTTGTTCTCAACCCTTTGGAAAAAAAAGGACATGAATGCCATCATTCACTTTCAAATGGATACCCCCACCCTATCTAGGCTTGAACGTGAGTCTTCTTGTTTATCTTAGGCATATATCCAATATCATTATATCTAGATAATTTATGTCCTGAAAAGAAGAAAATTATAAGAACACAAGAAAAATTAATTAAAAAACTTAAACATCTGAGTCGTTTTTAACGAAACTTGTATAAAATATCGATTACAACCCAAATACCCAACATAGATTATTTAACATATTTTCTGTTTATACGCTATTATTATAGATATCATTTATTTTAGTAAATGCTCTGTTTTTTTGTTTTTTTTTATTAAACCGTATTAATTACATTTACCGTCCTGAATGTTCGAGAAATTTCGGAGAAAATATACATTCTCCGACAGCATTCGAACCTGTATTCCTTTTTATAGAAACCGTCATTTGGCCTAACGTGCTGTACTATTCATCTACAGAGAAGCCGTCTGATTTGCAAAATCCGAATTGCTGCTTATAAACACAAAATCATAGATGGTGCCGTGGTTTTGATATGTTTCGTTCCGAGTAAGATTGTAAATTCTCGAATGAGTGTTGACTGGATTTGCGTCTTTCCATTCTGTTGTTATTATAGACAGGACACCGAAAGATGGAATCTAGTCATATAATATGATTCTTGCAATGGATTCTATTGAAATATCCTTAAATAGCAAAGCAGCTGTCAATATTGTGAATTTATCGACGATAATGAGGATATATGTATATACGCTGTCATATAGATATGAAAAGATATCAATGTGTAGATTACCAAATCGTGCGTCTGGTATTAATATTTCGGGGGGTTTACTTGGTGTGTCTATGAATCTTGTGTTTTTGATTCTGTAAACAAGAGTGTGTCCAATTCTTTATATCTGCCGCCATATTAGGACATACGATAGGTTAGCAGTTGAATTAGGTTGCACGTAAGGACTTTTGTTGATCTTGTTAATGTCACAGTAATAAGCGTTTCATTCCCGAATGAGGTGCATTCTCATATTTGCATGTTTTATCTTTCTTTTGTTCCTCGGCTATGAATTTATTTGACAGTGTATCTGAGGACATCAATGCAATTGTCGTCCCTGACAGTGTATCGGTTATAGTATTATCTCTCTAACAAAAGTTTTCGTAAATTATATAAGATATGAAGTCCTTTCAAATGACGCAGAAGCTGAGATGGTGTTCTGTCGCCTAACACAACATTATTAAACAGCTCTCGAATTATATTTTCGTTGGATTATCCCAACCGCTATATTATGGCTACCTTGAGTGTGTCATACAGTTCATTTTCAGGCATTATTCCAAGAAGATCTTCGACTTTATCCACCATTTTGAACGTTTTGTGGGTTGTACGGAAGAACATTCAGGGCTAGCGAGGTTTCTGTCGGGTTTGAAAACTTGCCAGTTATACTGTCGTTATACTGCTGTCAAAATGATAATCTCTTCTGCTTATATCGGAAAAGATACGCTCAATTTGCTGGCTTTTAAAGATGTCATACATTTTGAGAAAGAATTGTTGCCATTTAAAAAAAAATAATTGAATATAGAATTGGTTTTTTATTCAAAACCATATTTTCAAGATTTCGACATTTTGTCTTTTATAACAAAGACAATTTCAATGAAAGTGCTGAGATATTTTTAATTTTTTTAATCAATTGTTTAGTATTATTAGACCACATAATAACTCATAAATTTTAACGAACGCCATTTCTGTTAATATCTACTACACATTTATTATTTGTTTCTTTCCATTTTTGTTCATTAAAATGCAGCAAATTCCAAAGCGAAAGTTAAAAAATACAGTATTATTTTATTTGAAATTATTGTATATTGTGTCCGTGTTTATCTCAAATCATCATATTGTAAAAGTTATTAAAGGGTAAGAACTGTGTTTTTGTTGATCCAAGGGAAATAACTCATTTTAACTTTCAAAGTTAAAATAACCGCATTGTTATTTTTTCTGTCGTGAATTGTAAACATTTCTTCTAAAATGAATAAAAAAATTAGGAATTTTATTTAACAGACTTAATTTATTTGAACCATTTATTTTTTCTTATTACTTTTACACAATGTTAAGGGAAAATGTCATAATTTTAAATTTATTTTATTCATTTATCACTGTTAATCGAAATTTACATATTTTATGTGCTTCTAATGCCAGAATATTACTTTATTTATGAAATGTAAATATTTTTTATTTAAAATAAAAAAATTGAATGGATTGTATCGTCTTTTTAAAGTTATGATATGGTATGTGGCTCAGTTAGCTAATTTGATGTGAATTGTTAAACTGTCAAAACAAAATGTCATAAAAGATGGAAAATATATGCTAATAAGGAGTTTAAGTTTAGTTAAAAACAAAAAGATTTAGAAATTAATTATTTTTTTGAAAAGTTTGGTGGAATAAAACGACCATGACCTCTGTTAGATTCCCTCTCAATATTTCAAATATTGGGTTTCGAAAATACACAAAATTAAATAAATAAAAACACATTTTCAAATTGAAAACATTTTTTTAAATTTCTATCAAATTTCATCATGTCTATAAACACACACGTAAAGACAGACGATGTCGCCTTTATGCGGAAGTCGTATTAAGAAAATCATTTGACTCTTCTGAACAAATGGGAATATGACAAAAATATTCAATTTTGGCTTTCGTTTGAGAAAGATTCAGACGAAAATTCTCCTTATATAAGAACCAAAAAAGTCACAAAAGCAGAATAGACGGTCAGCGCACATGGCACCTTCATTCATTTACACAAACTACGCCGAAGAAAGGTTTTTCATTCATGGCCTCTGGGCCAAAGAGATCGATGCAAGCGGGCAAAATACATTGGGTGACACACCGACTGCAAGTAAAGAAACGTCCTAAGTGAGTTACTTAGTGTTGTTATTGTACTGTCTGATCCACTATACTAATTAAAAGATCAGCACCGGAACCTTGAGACACACATCTCGATTTGGAGTTACTGGAATCTCTAATCTGTTATATTAAATTATACTTTTAAAAAGAATAAAATTGATGAAATGGCACCTGTATATATATATATATATATATATTCAAATATTGGGACTGTGTGTGTGTGTGTGTGTTAAATAAATGTGTGTGTGTTTTCAAATTGAAAATATTTTCAAATTAAGTTGAGCTCTCTTTCTAATTTCATCATGTCTATAAACAAATTCAAAAAGGATAGAGATGTCAACTTCATGCCAATAATAAAATTATTTAAAATCATTTAAAAAAAGATTACTGAACAAAACTTAATTTTAAAAAAAATTTTATTCTTTTAATGTACTTTCGAATATTTTTCTAATCGACTATTTCAGAAAATCCCCAAAATTTAATAAAAAAAAAAAATCAAAGAACAAACATCAAATTAAATTATTTGTAGACACCTTAGAGACATTCAAATTTATATTTCAAACATTATAATCCCCAAAATAACACTTTCAAAGAAAGGAAAATAACAGTTTTTTCATTCAAAAAAAGAAAATTAGTGACACCTTCTCTATAAAGGGATCTCTTTTTCTCTCTAGGTTTTTTTTCTTCTCTACCCCTTCGATATCAATATATAACTTCCGAACTGTTTAAATGTGTCAATATTTGCTAACTCACTCATGTTACTTAGTGTTCCTCATTCTTTAATTTACATATGTTTTATCCACCCGTCAAAAATGTGTAAATTTTCTTTTCATTTTTGTTTGGCAGTAAAGTCACATGATCAATCCTTTTAAAAGGACTGTGGTGAAATAATTTATTACATGGATTAAATTATTTTTTTTAAATTATTTGCACAAATTGATTGAAATCTCTGGATTTTATCCTATATATATTATATATATATATATATATATATATATATATATATATATATATATATATATATATGAAATAAATAAAATAATATATTTAAAATTTTTCTTGTTTCCTTCAAATCTCGGAGATAGTTCATGTTTTATTTTTTGCTATTAACTCTCTATTTCTTAATATTGAAAATTTTACTTAAAAAGATTGCTAACTTTTAAAGGTTTATTTTCCAATATTACCCTGGTCTTTTTAGTGGAAAGAAATGACAAAATGGAAAAAAGTCTTTTGCTTTTCAGGATCTCGTCGGACTAAACTGATGTCAACATTTATAACCCTACACGAAGGAAATATGTTTTGGGTATATAATCTCTCGAGTTCATTTCAGTTCTTTTATTTTTTTTTTATGTTTCCATCACATTTGTTATTAAATATCACACATTGTGATAACAGAAGATCTGCCAAGGATGCTGTAACCTTGTTAGAATTTTCAGCGCCCACTTTGCTTTATGCGCATGTGTAGTGGCATCAGTGCAGACATCAGTTTAGTCAGAGGAAGTCCTAAAAGGCGAAACGCGTCACACGGAAATATTTGTCATACATTTTCCTCTAAAATTGTTCTTGAGAATTAAAAAAAAACTTAGGATGAAATGTTGATCAAATATGGATCGAATCTGACAGAAAGATAAGATAAAGAACAAATAGGAAACTTAAATCAATCTAACACTCTTCAATTTTATTAAAACTTCGTCAGAGATTGAGAAACGAAGAAAATACAGAAATTTTGCTATTTTCACTTTGGTTTTGTTTGGTCAATCATGTCATGACGTGTATTATATTAAGGCGTATAGTTTATTTGGCTTTGGATTTTGATTTTTTTTAAAGCGTTGTGGATGAAATGACGTGATTAGTGAAGAAGTCTAAATGTTTTCTCTATATATTTATCTTCTTTTTTGGTATTCTGGGCTACATGTCCTAAGGGCACTGAGGTAAAATCCTATGATTAATCCTGATTTTAGTTTATGATTGTGGTGTGAATAGAAGTTGATTAGATCATTTCTGTTTGTGTGGTTACGATGAAAAAGAAAAACATAATTTCTAATGTGGATACGAACCCCAAAATTGAGTTGAACATAGTATATACTTAGGTTATTATATATCTAATAAGAAATTAAATTATGTGCGTAAAGAAAAATGTTGTAAAATTTAAAAAAAAAAATAAAAAAAAATGAATCTCTAAACAATCTAAATCTCATCTTTTATGTTTGATAACGACGATCATATGTTAAGAATAATTTCAAATATGTTTCTCGTAGAAATGAGATCCAATTTTATTGTTTTCTTGCCGACAAATAGTTTTCAGATTGCTTAAATCATTGGCATTTCTCTGATGAACTCTAATTTTAAACTCCTTGCATAGATTTTCTATAGGGATTTAAGTGAGGTGTCTGACTTGACTATTTTAAAACCTTTATTTACTTTTCATTTAACCACTTTCTCATTTTAACTGTAATCTGATTTGGATCTTTATCATTCTGAAACAGCGAACTTTTAGGTTTCTTAAGATTTTGTAGATTGAACCAAATTCTTTTCCAATATTTGGCAAAAGCTTCACCATCTGTCCATTATTCCTTCAGTGATATCTTTTAGTGTTCCTATAATTTTAAAAAATTTGGGAATGTATAAAGAAATGTGCAACTTTGAAATATTCTTTGCATTTTGTTTTGTGTGTGTAGAAAAACAAATGAAACTTATATATTTCGTTTATCTCAGGTTAAGAAAAAAAAATTAATTCTGCTATAAACTTAATATTTCATAATTTTTCATTTCCTATATTTACAGCGTCATTAACTTTGGTTGGTCCAATGCCATTAAACAACGCTTCTTGGTTGATTCCCAACACGAAGAAATCTTTTGATATCATTAAGCAACATTTCTTAAATTGGTAAATTTCGTGATGTTTTTTTTTTTCAATTTCCTTTCATGTATAATTTTATCATTTTAAGCGAATTCTCGTGCAATTCGAGAAACTGAACATTGATTTTATAATTTTATATTAGCATTTTATATTATTCTTGAAAGCTTCGTTATATATGCTACTTACTTAGCACCATATACAACGACACTAATAAAAAGAAATTGGGAAAATCAAATAGATAAATTAAACTACACTCTTACTTCGTCCTCTTCTTATATGCAACCCTAACCCTAACCGCGTCACTCCACCCGATGACGTAATCGCGTTTTGCGTCCGTTCCTCATGGTCTTAGGCCGACGTGTTTTCAATAGGGTTAACCCCATACTAATCAATACCGACATTATTCCCAGATGCTTGTTGGTCGCTGGCTGCTTCGATCCAAACCCGCTCTACCCACGTTGTGTTTTTGATCACAGAGTAGTGACAGATCGTAGCACTGGGTCGAACTGTGGTGAGAACTATATCATCACAAGAAAAAGATCGCAATTTATCTCAACAAGGGTCCTCTGTCTCCTATTTCTGCTTTCATAGCCAACTTTTCAAATTATCCATTTTCCTTGGGAGTGGTAATGGGTATCATCGCTCCTCCCTTTAACTCCAACTTCATTCAATTTACATCTCATTTCCTATCAGCAGGGAAAATGTTCTCCAATCTCTTTTTCTCCCTCTTTCAGCTTTTATACTTAAACATAATATTAAACCCTTCACGACCCCAGTGTCACACAACATCTTGAATGGGTTTTGTATTTGTTGAACCCAGTAAAAACAGAGACATCTTGATTGTTTGACGTGAAATGATTTTGATTGAAAACAAAGAAATGATTGATTAATTGACGGGTGAAATGATTGATTGATTGATTCACGTAGAAATGATTGATTGTTTGATTGACGTATAAAATGATTGATTACTTGATTGACTCATGAAATTATTGATTGATTGATTGATGGGTGAAATGATTAATTGATTGATTGACGTATAAAATTATTGATCGATTGATTGACGTATGAAATAATTGATTAATTGTCGTGTGAAATGATTGATCGATTGATTGACGTGTGATATGATTAATTGATTTATTGACTTATGAAATTATTGATTGATTGACGCATAAAATGATTCAGTGATTGATCGACGGATAAAATGGTTGATTGACGTGTAAATGATTGATTAATTATCGTGTGAAATGATTGATTGATTGACACATGAATTGATTGATTGACGTGTGAAATCATTGATTGATTGATTGACGTGTGAAATGACTGTTTGCAAAATGACTGATTGATCCATTTTCTGCGTTTTATGAAAACTTTGCAAGACAAAAATAGTTTTTTATGGTAATAATGATTTAGTGTTACAAGTGCTACTATTTAACCCATAGCTGGAAGGAAAAGATGTGGATTCATGCCTTTCCCAACGGTATTTTCACACCAGTGAAGAAAACGAACCCAATTTGAATTTGTTTCTCCGATGAACAATTTCTATCCCTTCTCCATTACACCACCTGCATATTCACAGCACCTAATATTCTTAAGCGGTCACCCATCTAGATACTGATTAGGGTCGACATTGCTTAACTTCATTGATCGTACGGGAACCGGTGTTTCAACATGATGTTGTCTTAAGTCCGTTTTAAAATGTAAACAATTGCAATATATTTATCTGATTGTTTATATTGATCGTAAACCGAAAAAAGTCCGTTTTAAAATGTAAAGTCTAATAGATTTATGTGTGTTTAATCAAGAAAACCGATAATCAGAGAAAATTTGTCCTTATATAAAGATTGGTTAGCAATATTGTTTACATTTCACATGGACTTAAATAAAGGATTTCAAACACTTTTTGATAACGTTCTTTATTTTTCACATGAGATTCTAATTTATTTTTCATATCGAATTCAATGAAAGGTTCTTCACTTTTCTCAGGTGTCATCCTTTGACTCATTTTATTCATGTTTCTACAATCATCAAAGAATATCAAATCATTTTCTTTTTATTCTTTAGTCGATTGAAAATGGTTATCAGTAATACAGTATCTTGATTATATTCTGAAAATTCGTATATATTGTCTTTCATTTAATTTATCAAACTCATTTGCTTTGTTTTTATTCAGTTGTGCTTCGGAAGGAATTTGGCTTGGAATGTACAAAAGGAATAGTCAACTTTATTGGACTGATGGAAGTTTAGTCAGTGAAAATGAAAAGAATTTATTGAATATTGTAAAATCACCAGAAAAGTTAAGATTTTATACTTAATTCTTTTAAACATGAATATTTTTTAAAATCTTAAATATTTTTATAGGTAATCTTTAAATAAATATTTTATAGGTAATCTTTTAAACAAAATATTTTACAGGTAATCTTTAAAAATAAATATTTTTTTCAGATTTTAATAATTTTTAAACATAAATATTTTACAGGTAATCTTATGAACAAATATTTTACAGGTAATCTTTTAAACATACTGTAATTCCCCATGTATAATACGACTTCATCTATAATACGCACCCATAAAATTGTACTGAAAGTGTGGAAAAATACTTCTACTCGCGCATAATACGCACCCCTTGTTTCGTAATCAAACCCTGTAAATCTTTGTGTTTGTGTTTATGTGTATGCGTGTTTGTGTATGTGTGTGTGTGTGTGTGTGTGTGTGTGTGTGTGTGTGTGTGGAGAGAAAGAGAGTATATGCGAACATAGGAATCAACAGCATATGATGAGTTTTACGTTTCAATCACCGTTTCAGTCTTCAGAGCAAATGGAACTGACAATCATTATGTAGCGTTTATTCCTATGTCATTATTGTCTATATATATAAAGGCCCTTCTCCGATTTGTGTGTGTGTCTGTATTAATATACCATATGTTAAAAATACACAATGAAAAATTATAATTTATTGTAAACTATCTACTCATTGTAAGCTAACCAAATTTATTTCAACTAAAAAATTTGTTACGTCTAAATTAACCCCCAGAAATCCATTATATACTGTTCCCCCAAAATTAGGAAGCAATTTGCATTTTAAAATAAACTAATTTTTGAAATTATTATGTTAAAATGATATTGAAAAATGGAGAGAAATTCGTAAAACGTAAAAAGATTTTTCCAAAATAAACGCAAAAATACTTTATTTACAACAAAATTTCAAAATGTCTTCATTTAAATGCTTTGTATTTTGTTTCGATTTTAAATAAATTGCTTATTTAAAGACATTTATCGAAATTAAACATTTTTTACAATATTGAATCTTTTGAAATAATTGACTTCTAATAATTGACTTCTGAAACAACAATTTATATAATTTTTTTTCAGAAATTGCGCTTTGTACAATGGTTCTATAATATTCATAGAACGTTCATCAACCAAAATGGGATTAACAAGTCCATATCGTACGTAATGAATTATAGATTTCTTTTTGAATTTCAATTTCATGTTTCATCTTTTTAAAATGGCGATCAATATTTCAATGAATTTATCGATTAGTTTCAATCTTTTTTAAAAACTATAAATATTTTAATGATAATTAAGATTTCTCCTTATGAAGCCGATTAAAGAAATTATAACAATCTCTCCTTATGAAAGCCAATTATGATAATATTTCTTTATAGAAGGCAATTATGACAATATTTCTTTATGAAAGGCAATTTGAAAATGTATATCTGTAACATTTGGAAAATAGTAATGATAAAAATATTGTAAAAAAATAACGCTTCATTCGTCATTGCTACCATGTTTATTTCTATCTTTGATGTTATTTTAATAATAAATGATCAGTAAGAAAATACCTTTTATAAAAAAGGAAAACGTTTTAATTGTACATAAACCATTAAAAACCATTAAAACATTAAAACTATTAAAAACATTAAAACATCTCGATAAAGAAATAGTGTAACAATAATTTCATAGCTTTATCATAACACATTGATTTGATACAAGATAAGAAAGTTTATATTTCAACATATTGGCTTTCATTGTCAAAGCCCTTAATCTATATTTACCACATTAATTATATAGAACAAATATTATTCAGTGAAAGTTGTAGATTCAATTTAAGCTGATAACGTTGTCAGAATCTGGAATTAGAATCCTTGGTATACTCTGGTATATATATATATATATATATATATATATATATATATATATATATATATTGAATGGATTTGTATCCGACATCATTTCTCATTAATATAAATGTTATTTTTAGTGGCTATACGTTTTTGAACTGCTACGCCCGTTTTATTATTTTATTTTATTGTTTATTAATTAGTAAAATTAATAACAAGCTTCACTGATTGAGAAGTCCTACGAAGGAAAACAAGGGCCTCCGTTAGGAATCGAACCATACACCTTATTTAAAATAACTTTTATAGGGGTTTTCAAAAACATGAAATATTCATTTTTAATATTATTCTACTATAATCCTCATCTTTGTCGCCATTAAAAGATCCTGATTAAAACGGCCATTAAAAATCGCACATCGATTCTTCAAATATTGGAATTTCAAACTGGGGTAGATTGTTCATTATTTCCATGTTTTAACGATCTCAGTTATCAGATTATCTCCTGTTAATTCTTGTCTTTCATTGTGAAAGTTCTCCACTTAGACATCAACAGAACAAATTATCTGAACAAAGATTCAATAAAATCTTTGGGTCCCGTCATTGGATCTAAAATTCATTTATCCACTGTCACCATGTGTTTTTAATGAATCTGGGTATAATATATATATATATAAACCTATATGTCATTCAAAGAACCATTTTAAAGTGAAGATATTGCAATATTGCAATTATCAAAATATTTTTACCAGAGCTCATAATTTTAACTTTATTAAAGTTTCATTGCTTTTCTCTCAATTAACGGAATTTTTCTGGTTAAATGTTCTATATTGTATTTATTTTTATTTTGTTTTAAAAATTCATTTTTTTTTCAATTTCAACAGCATATAATTATTTTAATGCGGTGACATTTCCAAATTTGCCATCAAAATCTGGACATAAATGTAAAAATAAAAATTGTTATTATTGATTGGCATGAAAGTTCAAATATCATGTCACCATTGTGTTTTCTAATGAATCTACAGGGAATATAGAAGTTTATCTAGTCATTCAAAGACGCATTTAAACTGAAGACTTCTGAGATATCAACATCAAAATATGTTGTGCCAGACAGGATTAGAATTTTTAAGTTTTATCTAAAGTTTCAACACCAAACTCAGTCATTAGAATTTTCTGTAATAAATGTTCTATGAAAGGTTATAATATTTTTATTTTGTTTTAAAATGATTTTTCTTTTCAATTTCAACAGCGCCTAATTATTTTAATGCGGTGACATCCCGAAGGCCATCAAACTCGGAACATAAATGTAAATAACAATTCTTTATTATGTCATTTGTTTAAAATATTAAAATATTATATTGTATAAAAATATTATATTTATAATATATTTAATTTCTTTCCACTAAGAGCATTTAAAAGGTGAAAGGGAAAATGTCATTTCAGTTTTGTAATGAATTTAATTTTTGATCTAAAATTATCACCCAAGAATTCCGAGTTGGAGGAGAATGATCAATGAAAAATTTATGGATCGCTGAGAGAAGAAGAGGAGTTGGAGGAGAATGAAAGAGGTGGAACCGAGGAGGAGAAAAGAAAGAAGTAGAAGTGGAGGAAGGGAGGAGAAGACGAAGAAGAAGAAGAAGAAGAAAGGTCATATTATGAGGATATGTAGGATAGATAACAGTTGACCCACGACCTGAAGAGGTTAAGATTATAGTGATCGGAAACATCCGTTCAGGAATAGTGATTCTCTGTCTGAACGGAACTTCCTCTTTACCAATGGAATAAGAGGAGAATGAGGATGATTCAACCCTGTGAAATTTTTGGGTGGATCACTAGATGTAAAGGTTTGAAGTGGTGGAACCGCCAATCTGGAAACTTCCGTGAAAATTCATGGAAATTAGAATCCAATAGTAGATGTCTTCTTGTAATGGTTTATCTATGGGAAGGGGTTGTTGATTTGTAAAGTTTCATCGTTGTAAGGCCTGTAAACGTTTTGAAGCTTCCTGAATAGAAACATCAGCCCTATCATGACAAGGATTAATTAAACTCAGGGCCATTTATAATAGCAGACACTAACAATCTGCCTCTATTAAGATAATTCCGAGTTATGGTTGTTAAGAATGATCAATGAAATTTTATCAGATCGCTAGACTTCATAGATTCAAATATTTTGATGAGTCTGGAAACTTCCCGAACCGAGATAGAGAAATCCAGAAGTATGTACCTTGTATGTTTGAGAGGTTGTAACTCTTGTAGAGTTTGGGCGTTGTAGTCTAATGTGGAGTTAGAAGCATAGTTCATTGCAAAGTAATTAGCCTTATCCGACAATGATTAGGTAAACTCAGGGCCATTTATAATAGCAGACAATAACAATTTGTCTCTATTAAGAATCCCTTGATGATTTTCTGGAACTCGTAGAAACCATGTCTTATGTCTCCAACTTTGGTTTGGACTGCTTAGTTGTTCCTTAAATCTTTGAAACTCTCTTGGACTCTTCTGAATATGGCAAGAGTTCTGCTACACCTTATGCTTTGCGTTAGAGATTTTAGTCGTGCTTATCTTGAGCTTTTGTGGCATCTCTTTCAGACCCAAATTGAGATTTGCTATTTAGTCTTTGGGTGGTATGAAATTCTTCATATAAGAAAGAATCCATTCAGAAATGAGGAGAATTCTTCTGCAATTTCTATGTTTGAAGGATGCTGAAAGAATTACTCACGCAGTGTAAAATCTGAAGCTATTTCGATCAAGTTTCAAGTATGATTGTGTTTTTGATAATTTGATTAGTTTTTCGTTCACTGAAAAAAAATTGTATTCAAGTTTATAATGTTTTTGGTTTGTTTCGATTATTTATCATTTCAGTTTCTACATCGGCGACATTCATTCCAACAACAGCTCGACCAAACCCTGTATATCAGTGTAACAAATAATTCTTTCTTTTATGTCATTTCTTTAAAAATATTATTCATCAGAATGGTATTAATATGCTTAATTACATTCCACTAAATCATTTAGAAAATGAAACAATGTCTTTTCAGTTTTAGCAACGAATTCGATATTTTGCTAATATTAGTTTTTGGTTTGGTGAAAAATTAGTGTGAGCAGAAGTTGGTTTGTGTTACCCAGAACAGTAACTCATTGTGTGACCTCAATGAAACTCTGCCAATGCCAATTGATATAGGACCCTTAGTAATGTTTTTTTTTATCATTGCTCTATATTTTTTTTTAATAATTTTATGCTAGTAAAATGACAATAATGAAAAAACAAAAAAGAAAAAAAAACAGAATTAAAAAAAGGAAGTTTCACATTTCAATTCTATTGTTAATTTTGAATCTTAAAATGATTGCTATACATCTAATTCTATCATAAAATAATATTTGAATTAATATAGTTTTATATTGTCTAAATATTTCATTTCTAAGAATATATGAATAATGATAATAACAGAATCAGCTGGAGACTGATAGGTCGATAGTTAGATGGGGTCAGGATGTTCTCCAGAGTTCTTTAAAACAGGAACTACAGAGGAGAACTTTCAATACGCTGGAAAACAAGAACAGCGAGTCAAAATTGTAGAGTTTGGAGGGAACTGGAGCCAGTTCGAGAGCACATTACTTTAGGACAACGCCTGCCTTATGGGTGTCTAATTTAGTAATGATTCTGAGACCAGTGATGGGGTTATGCGCATATCACTTAGTAGAACCTTTGTTCTAGTGGAGAAGCCAAGTGTTGGTACTCCAAATGAGTCGAGTTGAGGCACGGTGGATTAATGGACAGCGGTTCGGATTGAGGAATCGGAGAGCCGAGTTCGAATTCCAGTCGAATCCATTACATTCACTTAAGTGCTAATTCATACCTTGGGAAAGGTATGAATCGTCTTCATCTGCTCACCCCCAGCTATGGGTAAATAGCAGGACAGACCGGGTTCTATAGACGTGGATAACAAATGGTCTAGCGCAGAAAGAAATGGCAAACTACTGCGGGAAATAATCTGCCTCGTCAATCATTTATCGAAAGATATATCTGATCCCCTAAGCGTGTATCACAGCCAGCATGGCACAAAAACTGAAATGTTGAGTTGGAAAAAATTTCCGAGCAAAGCAATCTACCTTATGTGCTGTAGATGTTAGGACTCTTAATTTATTGAATAGTGGAGTGATTGAGGATTTGCTGTTGTTCAGTAAACTCTTTCAGATCCTCCAATAATCTCTAGAACAGAACTTGTGAGATGCTATATACGTTGTTTCATTCTATCAGTGAACAATAACTTTGCTTTTTTAAGGACCCACTTGCTTTGCTTTTTTAAGGACCCACTTGCGCTCATTACGAGCAGAGAAAAAGAGACGACATCTGTTGCAATCAGGCGAGTCACTTCTGGTACAATCAGAAGAAGTAATTTCTGTGGACTATATCGGCCGAGTATGCAGGCGAAAACCAAAAAGATGAAATCGGTTTAACTTGGTATTTAATACCGGCTTTGTGGATAGAACCAGTTAAAAGACAATTTTACAGGTTTTATTTTGATACATTCAAATATGTCTGTCTGATATAATGTCAACACAAGGTCGTAAGAATAATATCAATCGTCAATCAAATGGCAAAGAGCAAAGGAAACAAAAATCGAGAATAATTTAAAAATTGAAATTCTTGTGAATATCGGAAAATTTCATATCATTTAAAAAATTTAAAAAAACAGTGATAACTAGTCCTAAATTAAATTTTAATTATTGGAAGAAATTACCAGATGAGGTTATATAGACATTTAATTAGATTGCTTAATCTGGCGTAATGTCACAAATATAAAGCCCAAAAATGCATCATTATAGAGTAATAAATTATTTGGCCATTTCTGTACAATAAAGCACCTGTTATATGCAGAATTCGCGTATTACTATGGCGTTAAAATGGTTCAAAGTTATGAGTTAAAATCTCAGAGAATTTTCTATTTCGTAGAAATTTCCACTGGAAGAAAATAGCCAATATTAAAATAAAAAATTAAATATAAATTAAGTTTTCCTAAAACATTTGTTCGACCGTAAATCATTTCAGTTTTAAATTTAACATTTTGACTTGTATATTTAAAACTTTTGTTAATTTTATTTTGTAGCCACAACAAAAGCAAGAATAAATATGTGTCCTTGTCCATGTCCATTTCCTCGGAAAAATATAAGTGTCGAAGAATTCAAAGAAAGCCTGAAAGAAATTGTTATTAACAAGAAAGACACTTCAAGCTACAAACGTTCGAAAATAAGTTCTCCTGATGAACGTACCTCATCAAAAACCATTGGGATGGTGGCTGTTGTTGTTATTATTATTCCTTTTTGTCTGTTAATCTTAAGTGATGTTCCCATACTTGTTTGTCAAGTTATAGCTACTTACAAACGAATTATCAAAGGAAATCCATGAAAAGCTTAAAACAAACAAAAGACAACAACAAAAAACAAAAAAAAAACAACAAAAAGAAAAAGAAAAAAACACATGTTTATTTGTCCAGATAATCCTTTACGCAGACTTTAAAATATATTTTGGCAATATTTAATTGTTTACAATTTTTAAAATTTATCTTCTTTCGTAAAAAGTTTAAAAATCATAAGATGTGAATTCCAATATAATTTCATATATTCATCGATGGTTTATTGTAAGATGTTCAAAATATTTTTATGTAAAATTTTATCTAAAATAAACTTTAATCTCCATAATAAATTGCAGTTTTTGTTTTGCAAATGTTGCAGGCAGTTTTTGACCGATGGGAAAAATGGGAGACGTAAGGTGAAAAGTGGGACATGGTAAGATGAAAAAAGATGAAAAGGTGAAAAGTGGGACATGGTAAGATGAAAAATGGGGCACGGTAAGGTGAAAAGTGAGATATGGTAAAATGAAAAGTGGGGCATGGTAAGGTGACAATGGAATCTTTGAGTTAAAAGTGAAGACGAGAGTTGAATAAGTTTTAAAAACTATCACGAGAGTTAAATCTAATATTTCATTAGTTCTTATTCAACTTTATAAAAAAAAAGAACCCCTGACTCAGCCATATTCGATCGACATATCTCTACGGTAAATTGGTTAACTGTCTTCGGGAATAGATTCATGCCAAAAAGAGACTCTTTTGTTTAAAAAGCCAGTGATGAAAAGAAGAAAAATGTAACTCTTTCTATTCCATCTCCAAAAACCATATCCTTTTTGCAGTCAGGGGTGCAGATAGAGAAAGGAAATACAACTTGATGCAGTAACGAGAAATGTATCCAGAAAAGAAAACGAACATGGAATCTGTATAGTTGTGTATTAAAGGTTTCACACTAATTGAAATAGATTTAAGTCACAGACACGTAGGAGAGAGATGGAGGGAGGGAGTGAGAGAGAGAGGGAGGGAGTGAGAGAGAAAGAGAAAGTGTGAGAGAGATAAAGAGAGAGTGAGATTGAGAGAGAGAGAGGGGGTGAGATGGCGAGAGAGTTACAGAGAGAGACGGAGAGGGAGTATGAGTGAGAGAGAGAGCGATGAGAGTGAGATAAAAAGAGAGAGAAAGAGAGTAAGAAAAAAAGTGAGAGTGAGAGAGAAATAGTGAGAGTGAGAATGAGAGAAGAGGGAGTGAGAGAAAAAGAGTGAGAGAAAGAGAGAGGGTGACAGAGATAAAAAGAGAGTGAGACAGAGAGAGAAAGAAAGAGAAAGAAAGAAAAGAAGAGAGAGAATGAGAGACGTCAGTTTGCAGTTAAAGAAGTAAGAGACAGAACGGAAAAAGAGAGAATCGAGAGAGAGAGCTCTTTACATTCCCTTTCGAAAAATATTCCCTGAGGGAGAGGAAGAGAGAAATGAGAGAGAGAGACTTGCTTGCCAACCAGTGAGAGATGGAAATTCGAGAAACAAACAGAGAGAGAGAGAGAGACCTGAAAAAGGTTAAATGAAAATTGAAAAAAGAGAGAGTGAAAGTAATGGTTGTATGTAAAAGTCTTGTTTGTCCGGAATTAAATCATGATTAATGGCAGTCGGATAGTGTAACGGATAGTGACTCGGAAAAAAGAAATCCCTTCCGTCCGAATCGAGTTCAAATTCCATCAGAGCTCTTTACATTTCCCATTCATCCACAACAAATATCGAAAAAATATTATCCCTGGAAAATGGGTTTCTCTTCTAGCTATTACGTTAAATAGTAGGGTAGACTGGATACACCAGACTTGCTTGCCAACCAGTCGAGAGATAACAATTCGATTAAAACACACAAAGCCGTCGACCTAAGTCATTCAAGAGGAATTTTTCGACCTGAAAAAAAGGTGAAATAATTGAAATTGAAGATCTTATTAGAGGACTAAAATTTAATTATGCCAGTTAAAGAGATATAATTAAAAAGGAGAAAATACAGTAGGTATTTATACGAAAATGGGAGATAGAACTCGATCAACGAAATTAAATTCTTTTTTTGCAGACTAACTAAAAAAGAGAAACACGAGTAAAGACAAAATACACGTCTTAATAATATATTGACACGGACATATTTGCTTAAACAAATCCCCTTCCGTCCTGACAATGAATCGTTCTTATTTGCATTAGGATTGGATAACAGGTGTGTGGGTGTAAAATGGATTGTTTTCTGGGCAGTGTATTCATTTCCCGACTTTTTATAATTTATTCTGAGATTGCAAAGACGGATAGGATAGCATATTTATGCAAATTATCCAGTTGACCTTTTCTAATGGAGGCCGGGTTATTTATTTCGAACAATTCTCTTTAGAAGTTGAGTGTAGTTAGTTTCAGGATGACGCATGAATTGCTAAATTACCGAACTGATTTTAAAGAATTGTTTTCAACATAGGTCAAGGGCAGAATATAATCCGTGCAATACTGGAAAAAAAAAAAAAAAAAACCAAAAAAACATTGCCTTAGTTTGAGATATAGACGGCATTTGGGAGCGGGGATTTAGCATAAATTCTAGCTTGGATCATGTCCAGAGGAGAGCCATTATAATAAAATATTTTCCTAATAGATTCTAATTCTATTTACATTATTCGAACTACTGTCCTCAACGTCAACAAAGATGTGGACAATAGTCCGAATAATGTAAATAGTATACAATATACTTCATCTCAGAAATATAGGCTGATACAGATTCTAATTCATGTTTTATTAGTTGAATAAATTAATAAGGCCCATATGAATATATTATCAATATGTGTGCATTTTATCCCTAATGTTTCCCTATTTTAGTCGGTGGTGTACGTAAAAGTTGTCTTCATCTTCATTGTCATATTCACGACGTTTCGGTCGTTATACGCCCGGCCTTCTTCAGTACCTGTCTATATTTCTGAGTTGAGGTATTGTAACTATTTACAATATTTAAATTGTTCGAACTGTTGCCCCCATCTTCATTGTCATATTCACAACGTTTCGGTTGTTGTACGCTCCGGCCTTCTTCTGGATTACTTTAACCAACGTTTTTATCCACTTGACTCAAAGTTGCGAGTTCAATAACTGACCACAGCAGAGGTGAACAAAAACTTGGAGAGTTTAGTTACTAAAGGGAAATAACTGAAACTAAGATATTCGGAAAAGGCATGGCACGTGGAACGAGAACAACCTACTTCAGTGGACGAAATAAAAGGTACGATTTGAAATTCCAAAGTATAACACCTGAAGAAGGTCGGAGTGTACACAGGCCGAAGCGTTGTGAATATGACAATGAACATGATGACAATCATCCGAACAATATAAATACTGTAAATAGTTACGATACCTCATCTCAGATGTTTTCACTTTATACTACCTCTTCTTACATTCATATCACACACACACAGACACACACACACCACGTCATTCAGGAGAAACCCCTCTAGAGTGGCTCTCGAGTTTTGTACTGGTCGAATTTTACCAAAAAAGTCATTTTCTAGTGGGGTAAAAAAACAGACTGGAAAAAAAGGTTTCATAAACAAAAGTTTACATTAACTTGTCTTATTCTTCCATTGGAACATCAAGACGTATAGAAAAAATATCTTACGTTTATTTTAGGGTCGATGGAGAGAGAGAGAGTGAGAGAAAGAGAGATAAAGAGAGTGAGAGAGAAAGAGAGAGAGTGAGAAATATGGAAGATAATGAGAGAAGTTGCAAAGGATAAGTGTTAATAGTAACGATAAAAACTGTTGCTTTTCAATTTGTTCTCTTGTCTGAACATGAAATTCCGGGGCCATTGTCTTGATTATTATTGATTAGAGGTTACTGCGATATTGCTATTTCATAGATAATCAGTCAATGATCGTCGACAACAAATGAGATAAAAATTAGTCTTCTCTCGAATACTTTCTGAGTTCATCAGAATCACTTTCTCCTGTCATCAAATCAAACAAATATGGCGCGCTTTATCTCAATGATTTTCCTATTGTACGTAATCAAGTATTTCATGTCTGCAGGTAAGTTTATCATTAAATTAAATTTGGGGTAGAATTTCTTTAGAAGAATCATTTTTATCAAAATACTCAACTATATATAAACCATTCAGGCGGAAACAGGCTGAAAGTGTAATTCTCATTAAGAGAAGAATATTATGAAAACATTACGATTGTTATATAAATATCATTGTCTTTTAAAATATACTTTTCTCATGAGTTGAAAATAATCATATTTTAACTTTAATATTTCTATTTGTATTTTTATCAGTTATGAAGGACCATCATTGGGAGACATATCAACTTTTATTTCCTCACTAACCCCCACTCATAATAGGTGAATAGATAACATTTCACGATCTTATTCTTCCTCAACATGTGTTCGTGCTATTTTTTTCCTTTTAATAACATTTCTGATTTTGTTATATTTTTGTAGTAACTAATTCGCAGACCAAGAATATAGCATTATTATGATATTAATGAAAAAAATGTCAGTAATTAATTCAATGTTAAATATCTTAAATTCCATTGTCTTTTGTTACTCTTTTCTTCTAATGATGATTGTTGGAGAAGAGAGAAAACGTTTCGTATAAAAAGAACTTAGAACGAATCAGACATTTAAAATCGATCTGAATAACGTGTCTTCATTTATACTCTCAAGAGTAACATTTTATCCTGTCTTTATACTTATTACCATCAACAGTAGATTTCAAAGGAGATCAAGTGACAACAGGTCTTCTTACTACGCCAACATTCTGCTAAATATTCCAGTTGATTTTAGAAATGTTATCTTCTGAATAATTCTGATTAATCCTAAGATTTTTAAAAATCTTTTTGCAAGACTCTTCGGAATTGTTCCAGATCCTCAAATTATAATAGGCACAATCCTCACTTTCATGTTCTACAATATTTTTACTTCTCTGAAAAGTTGGAAATATTTCTCCAACATTTTACAATCTATCATTTTTACACTGCGGTTTCCTGGGGAAGCGACGTCCATTATTTGACAAATTTTCTTTTCCATGTTTATAATTCCGCTTGACTTATGCTTATTCTAATATTTTCTTCTCTCGCACTTCTCGCTTGTGGCACGTTTCTTCAAGGTTCTTTCTTTTCGCTTGAAGAGAGTGAAAATTCAGCTTTTTGCTTCTTCAGATATTCACTACGTAGATGTATTCTATGAATAAATTTAAAATGGCGCAATAATATATGTTACAACCAATATTTTTGATTGCATTTCAGATACAACGTCATTCACAATTTGGAATTTGATTTTTAAAATTGGTGGTGATGTAACTGACGATGAAGTAAATGTCACTTTAGTCGGAACAGCAGCAACGGCTGGAACTGTAATTTTTTGCAAAAATATATGCGAAAAAAAAAGCGAAAGCAATTTTACTTTCCAAACAGTTGATATCGGATCACACGTGGATATAAACTTGAACATATTAAAGAATGACAAATGGGATCTTGAAGAGGTAAGTTTCAGATAATTATAAATATATCTTAATATAGGTCATTTTTTGAAAATTTATTGTACATCACTTTTATAAAAAACATCTTCATTAGTACAAGTCCCCTCCCCACCATCTGAAAGAGTGCCAATCGCAAAAGAAATTACAAGAGATTTACATGATAAGATAATTTTGAATATGAATAAAATCTTAAAGAACTCAAGTTCATACCCAGACGAGAAGGATTATTTGTGTCATCCATCTGTTCGTTTGGGTTTATAAATATTTTCCTTAAAAAAAGAGGTGAATGTTGCGAAATTCGTTTTGTATTTGATCATTAGGATTTGTTTCCTCCCATTTATTGTTTGAAATCAGATCGAGGCTTATAAAAAAAAGGGA